ATGACCACACATTTGCAAGGCAGGCGCTTATGCCACTGAACTAAATCCCCAGCCCCAAGCATTTCTGTTTTAATAGTTAGATCTCTGATCCATTTTGATTAGTCATGGTGATAGACACATGTCTAGTTTTAGCCTTTGGCATATAGAGAGCCAGTTTTTCCAGCATCACTTATTAAAGATCTTATCTTTCTTCCAGTGAACTTATTTGGCCCCTTTATCAAAGATAAGAGGGCTGGTATGTTTGTAGCTGTGTCTGCACCTTCTAATCTGTTGTACTGGTACTCCAGTCTGTTTTTATGCCAATACCATGCTGATTTTATCACAGTAGCTTTATTATATAGTTTCAGTCCAGAGATTGTGATGTTACCTGCCTTTCCTTTGTTGCCAGTATTGTCTTTGCTATTCTAGATCTATTCCATTTCCAAATAAATTTTAGGAACATTTTCTCTAGTTCTGAGAGATATGCTAGTGTTATTTTGATTAGGATTGCTTTAATCTATATAATAGTTTGGGGATGGCCATTATCATCATTTTTGTTCTTTCTATCCCTGAGCAAAGGATATCTTTCAATTTTTAACATCCCCTTCAATTTCTTTTTATAGAGTAATACAACTTTTAATGTACACATCTCTTGCTTCTTTTGTTAGATTGAGTCCTAAGTATTTCACTTTTTTGAATTCTATTGTGAAGGGTTCTGTTATTCTTAATTTCTCTCTCAGTTGAGTTTGTTGTTTGTGTACAGGAATGCTACTGGTTTTTGAGTGTTGACTTTGTATCCAGGTATGCTATTGAATTTGCTTATTAAATCTAGATGTCTTTTGGTGTGATTTGGGTATCTTCTATGTAGAGTATCATAACTGCAAATAATACTTTAACTTCTTCCTTTCCTTCCCTTATTTCTTTAATTTTTCTCTTGTCTAATTGCTCTGGCTAGTATTTCCAGCACTATAATGAATAGGAGTGATGATACTGGACATCCTTGTCTTATTCCTGATTTTAAAGTGAAAACTTTCAATTTTGTCCACATAGTATGCGGTTGACTGTTGGTTTGTCATAGATGGCCTTTATCAGATTGAGATTAAGACCATCTATTTGGATTTTCTGTAGACATTTCTCATGAATGAGTGTTGGACTTTATCAAATGCATTGTATGCATCTGTTGAGGTGATCATGTCATTTTTGTCTTTGGCTCTAGTGTATTACATTTATTGATTTGAGTATGTTGAACCTGTATTCCTGGAATGAATCTCATTTGGACATGTTGTATAATCCTCTTGATGATTTGTTACATTCTATTTACTGGTATTTTATTGAAAATTTCTTGCATCTATGTTTATTAGGGAGATCAGCCTTTTGTTCTCTTTTTTGGTTGGGTCTTTCTCTTGTTTTGTTATCAGGGTAATACTTGCCTTCAGCAATGCGTTAGGAGGTATTGCTAAAGTAATAAATATCTTAACAGAGACTTTAATCTTTGTTAATTAGTACACAAGTAACATACTTTGTTTAAATTGTGTTTTGCAGTAAAATACTGCAAATAAAAGGGATAATTTTAAGAAATTTGGCCGTATTAAAAAAACACTATGGTATGACATTAAATGAAGATGTGTTTTTAAAAAGTTTCTATTTTCTCCCTAGCACTTACTGTTGAAAAAATGGTAATACATTCAAATATGTCTATTGATACAATTTTTGCTTTTTACTTTTCTTGGGTACCAACTCTCATACTACATTGCTGTACCCCAAGACAAAAAATGAGAGGGAGGGAGGGAAGAAGAAAGAAAGATGATATAAATACAAATTTTAGATTATGAAATTGTTTCTTTGTGGTCTTAGCAAGAGAATAGCCTTAATGTTTGTTGTTGTGGTGAGAAGGTTTTCTAAGTTTGTGGACCTTCAGTGGACCCAGTGGTCTGACTGGACCTCAGCACATCTTCTCTAGTGGGGAAAGCTTTCTGTTTTAAGGCTTTGTCCCACTCAAAAGCAGAAGTACATATTGTGGAAAAAGGGGTGGCACAGAGTCCCTTATCTGATGTGCTCATCGGACTGAGAAAAAAAAGTGAACGTGGGCAGAAGAAGGAATGTCTTGTGTGAAGAAACATCATCTCCCCCGCACAGTAGAAGGGAAATCTGAAAGACCTAACCAAGAAAGATGAAATCAGTGTGACAGGTTAATGGGGAAAGCTGAAAGACTAGTTCACAGTGTTTAAAAAATAGTTTGTTTTCCCTTCTACTAATCAAAGAGATGGAGGCAAAGCATACCAGAGAAAATAAAACTACATCTGTTCTGTGTATCTGAGTCCTGCATGTAATTTCTCTGTTTACCACTCAGAGTGGTTTGCCACTTTACAGTCTTATTTTCTTTTACTTAGAATGTTGATGTTATGCCCCATCGTCCTCTCTGGCAAGGATGGATCTGTATCACTAGTTGTACTTTTAAAATTTTATTGCATGCATGTTTTAAAACAAGATAGTTGTAACTAAAAATGAAAACAAAAAGACTTCATGCTGCTGGTTAAGCCTTGTAGCAGGTTGGTTCTCTCATCTCTGCCTGAGTCACAGAGAGAACAAGAAGGGCAGCCCAGGCAGGGAAGTGCCTTCGGAGACTCAGATCACCCCAAAAGAGGAAACACAGGAACTCAGAGTCTGAGACTTAAGCAGAAGAAAGTTCCATGCCTGAATGGTGATTCCACAACTCGCAAGTCTTAGAGGATTTGACATAGTGTTCATTTTTTGAAGTTGAGGTACACAATTCAATATTACAATCTTGTTTATTTATTTCAATTAATATTATTTATTATTTTTTATTTGTAATTTAGACAGTTTCATAAAATAAACTTGATTGCTCTTTTTCCTCCTGACTGCCATTGAGCATTTAAATCCTAACTTCCATGTATCTGCTTAGGAGTTAGATGTGGCAATGTGAGTGGATAGTAATAGAAAGGGTATCTCACTATATAAAAAGCATTCAAATGCATTAGGTAGACACGACCATTTACACAATTCTTTAAGTGGGCGTCTCAAACAGGTATAGTATGTGACACTTCAGTTGACTGAAAAATAAAAAGACTATAATGATCTTAGAGATTTTGCCGAACAGATGAGGAAGTTTATCTACTTAGGTTTACATTTTTACCCAAGGCCCTGACAAGCTGTGTAAACTTGAACAAACAACTATCCTCTAATCCTCAGCATTTTTATCAAGCAGAGTTAGTAATATGTATTCTGAGGATCTATAGTAGGAAAATGTGGTACTGCATGAAAAGTAACCAGCAAAAGAGACATGTAAGTACATCTTATATTTACATCTGTGCAGTCAAGATAGAAGACATAAGAAAATCTTTATTAATGGGTCTTATCATTAATATAAACCAAATTATAAGAGGCAGACATCAAAAGTCAAAGTATGTATTATTATTCTATATTTTCCTAATATAGAAGTCTTCTTATATTTTTTGTTTCAAAAGAAAATATAATACTCATTTTTTTCCAAAAAAGAACACTGAAAATTTTAAATGTGTTTTACTTAGGGAGGATTGCATCAACTTTTTTTGGTGATGGTGTCTAGAGATCCCCACGCTGGCTGCAGTGTACACTGTACAGATAAAACTATTAACTATATTAGGCATTATTCCTTTAAAACGTTCAAGTGTCTGGTTCTGTAATCATTTTAGAATGTTTTCAAATTCTTTAAATAAGTCTAAATTATCTATAATTATCATGGTTACTTCAGTAGGAAATTAGTTTACTTAAACACAGTCCAGCTTTTGATTATCTCTGAGATCTGGATACACTATATCCAAAGATGTTATAAAAATACATTTGCTTTCTGAGAATAAAATAAGAGTTGTTGCTCTTGGCCTCTGTGGTTAATAAATGACTTGCTTTTTAAGATGACAACTGAAGTCCTCACTATCTTAAAGAGAGGGAAGGAATTAGTTTATCAAAAATGCTTCCTTTCAATAGCATCAGAATCTAATGAAACCCAGAAGAAAATGAATTTTCTTATTAATTATGTATTTGTTTGCAACTTACATCTTACTTCCTCTTGTTTATGAAAGCAACTGTAGATAAGGCATAGAGCTTTGCATAGATACAGTTGCAATTGTTTGACAGTTTTGCTATGCATATGTCATTGAATGCACTGCAATTATATTTGTTATGTTAGTTCACAACTGGCAACACAATAGGTTTGTGTACAACAGCATCCCCACACGTGTTCGAATACTGCCTTGTACTGCAGTGCTACCATGGCTACGGTGTCACTAGGCAACTGGAAAATGTCAGCTCCGTTAATAATCTTATGGGACCATTGTTGTGTATGCAGTTCAGTGCTGGCTGGAATATCAGTATGTGGTGCATGATTGTATTTTTAAAATTTTAGGAGGGAGCAGGCCAGTCGAATCATACTAAGTTTTAAAAATTATTTTAGCATATGTTAAATACATTTAACTATTTGTTATCGAGCAATGGTAATTACAATTAATGAGGAGCTCAATTACATTGAGTGAGTAGGACCTACAATTCTGAAGAAATTCAATTATCATTTTGTAGTCTAGCATCCAGGCTTCCCCTAAACTTGTTAATTTTTGTGGAATTTATAATACTAGAGGCAAATTCATTTTTCAGACAGGCAAATTTGGGACTGAACATTGGCTTTCCTTTCCTTTCCTGCCTTCTCCTATCTCTCTCTCAGTTTCTGGTGTTGGGGGTTGAACCCAAGAACTTTACACTGAGCTACATCACCAGACATTTTAAAATTTTCATTTTGAGACAAAATCTAACTAATTTCTAAATTTCTTGTCTTGACTCAAAGTTGCCTGTCTCTGTCTTCTTGCCTCAGCTTTCCAGAGTCAAAGGATCACAGATGTGCACTAGCATACCATACGCTTGGTTTTCTGATTACACATTTTAGAGGCAAATTCTTGATACCCTAGTTTTGTTTCTCACCACATCTTACATGACCGGAGCCGCGGAAGACAGGAGGCCAAACTCGAGCAGGATCAGCTCTCAAACTTTATTGCGTACAGCGAACCGGACCTAACAAGGTCCGCCACCCTCAACGTTGATTCCTCTTCCGCCGTTGGGGGCAGGAACAACCTCTTATAAGGGGAAGCAGTATCCAATCACAGAGAAGTGCGCCTAACAAGCTGATAGGCTAGCGTCACGGGTAACTGGGCAGACATGACAATTTGGCGGGCTTGTTCAGGCCGGGAAGAACCCGGAAGCAGGAAATGGGCGCCATCTCAGGCGGCTTCCCACACTTACAGTCTCACATGATTCCCTCTGTGACTAAACACACAATATTTTCTCTTGTGTTGCTATTTGAATGACTTTTCCAGACACATGACAAGGTATTTCGTTTGGATCATTCACTCTTCTGAGAATATTGTCTGAAAAAGCTATGATTTCAGGGAAGGAATTAGTTTATCAAAAATGCTTCCTTTCAATAGCATCAGAATCTAATGAAACCTAGAAGAAAATGAATTTTCTTATTAATTATATTTCCATGTTTTCATGTTCAGGGACTCATGAAAATTTATTTCTAGAGTGAAACTGAGATCTTTGGAACCCACATATGTCATGTGTATGCTTTGCCTTCCTTGAAGATATCAGTAGAAGGAAAATGGACTTTGCCAGGTGCAATATTACTTTTCCTTTCTTAATTCATCATTCACTAGTTATTTTCTTTGCAAAATGGTGTTGATATAATACAAAGAAGTTGTTGCTAGAATTAAAGTAATGTAACTGAAATATTATAAATTAAAATTTATTCTATACAGAAGTTATTTTTGTTATGTTTTTCAGTTGGAATTTGCTTTAATTAAAAACAATCACCTATGTGCTGCTTTTTCAAAATTATTTGTAATAAGGCTATTTGGAATAAGAATTTAAAAAGATATTATTACTTCATGTTTGGGAGGCATAATGTTTCTGATAAAAACATATCGTCACATTTAAGATCATGAATTCTTAAAAGTAAGAAAGGACTTAGAAAACAAGCATCCTGCATAGAATAACTTGTATTGTATGTTAAGTGAAATAAAAAACAGCACCAAAATATAATAAATCTAGAATTTTACATGCAATTTAGCTTTATATACGAGCTTTGCATACATTTTTCTTATCTCTGGAGTTTCTCTGTGTAGATCTCATCAACGTACCACTTAAATATAAATCTTCTTGTAATCCTGTTCTCCTAGTGTTGCTTTTCTGATTAAGACTACAAGCTGCATCAACATCCTATTCTCTGCTTGACATCCATGGTTCTTTGTAGTCTGATCTCAATTTATCTGTCCAAATTCATCACCTATTAGTCAATCAGGTGTGGCTAATAAAGTGTTTGTAGCTCACAGATACGCCAGTTTATGTCCTGTGATGTCTTATATACCGTAAAACATCCAGGTGTGAGAAGAAATTGTATTCAGTATTTATATCATTGGTTTGGGGAACAGCAAATATATTCAAATGTCATGTGAAATTCCAATGAATAGAGCTAAAAATTCAGTGTATTTAGAGTAAATAATTTGCCTATTAATTTTTAAAGTGAAAAAAAATTACCACATAACTTCTTTAAATAGTATTTGTATGTTGTTTGGTAAAATTGCTAACATCTCCAAAAGGTGCAATATGATCCGTGACTCACTTTGGAACTTTATTCATGTCATGGTATACCAAGAAAAATGCTATCCAGAAGCAATAATTGTGAGTTTGTTTCTCAAAGTTCCAGCCTACATAAATATTCCCTCCTATATTACCAAATCAATTTCATGCGACTTAAATAATTTTACGAAGTTCTATTAACATAAGCTTTGAAAGCTTTAAGAAGTCATATTCATGCTATCAATATATACTTATGAAAGAATTAGTAATATGGCACAATGTTATGTAATTGTAAAATGGGGAGACTCAAAATCATATTTTACTATTGTCTTGGTTACTTTGCTCTCACTGTTGAGACAAAATAACTGACACCCAACATGAAGAAGGAAAGATTTATTTCTTACACTTTTGAAGGTTTCAGTCCATACTCTGCTGGCTCCAAGGCAGGATGGTGTGGCACAAAGGTAGCTGTTGATGGTCCCTGCAAACAGCAGAAACAAACAGGGCAAAAGAGGAAAAAACCACACCTTCTTCCCACCCTTACATTGTATGTCAGTCCTGCCACTGGGTGGATGCAGTATTCACATCACTAATTCCAGCACTAAGCAACAAACCAATCACAAACACTAGATTCTACCACCTCCATGATTACATGAGGCTTTGGGGACCACCTAGACATAAACAACAAGTCTATTGTGTAAACTTTGTTATATATCTATAGCTAAACCAATTTATGAAAGAACAAAGTGTTTTATGTATATTCATCACAATTATTCCTTCAAAATTGTGCTGTACTGTTAACCAGAATCTTACATTTTATCTCAGTTTTATTAATAGACTTAATCTGATACCATTTATAATAAAAGGTCTATTTCAAGGAATTTATATTCATGATATCATTTATTATTGAAAATGATGACTAAATCTTAATAATATTGTCCCATGGCAGCATGCCATTTTCAAAGGATTAAACAAAAAGAAATTAATTACAATTGTCTGCTCAACAATTAAAATTGATTCCTATCATATTTGAGAAGATATAAATGAATCAAATTATGTACAGTTCATCACTTTCCAAAGAAACAATATTGTAATCATTGTACAACAATTAAGATTTTTAAAGTAAAATAGATTTATAACACTAGAGGATGGAGTGCTTTATTATTAATTACTTTCCTTTTATCCTTAAGTATACATCAATGAACTACTACTGCACTAAAGTTGAAAGGACTATTTATATTTAATCTTCATTTACAATCAAATTTCACAGGAATAATTTGGGAATTTTCTTATGGAAATATTTGTGGCACAGTTTAGCTTGATATTTTCAGTATATTACCATAAATAATGTATTGAGAGAGAACTTACAGTTAGTTATTTAAATAGAATTCTGTATGTGGAAACATATGATTTTGCTCACTTTAGGATTCTGTATTACATTCTGGTGTGGAAATTTATATGAAATATATATATATATATTTATATATACATGAAGTAAATATATGTTAAATATGTAATATACGTTTAACATATAAAATATATTACATATATAAATGTATTACATGAATTTATATGACATAAATATACATTATATGAAACATATATTATATAAAATATATATTATATGAGATTAAATATATATTTTCCCCAAAACCTGTATGCTAGCATCTGATATTTGTTTTCAATTTTTTCACATTAAGAACTACTAACCTGTCTGGGAATGACCTCAAACCAGCATTGATGGTATGCAAATAATGATACTAGCAGAGTGAACTCCTGTTTTTAGGTCTCTTGTTTTCTTTTTGTCACACTTCTGTGATTTTTAATGATATTTTTTGACACTGTGTACCTTTAATTACTATTCATAATTATTACTTATTTTGTCATCATTTTATGATACTGAATGATTCTGCAATAATCATTTGATGTTTTACTTTTTATATTTTGAAACAATTTCAAACTTACAAAAATTAAAGTAATAATTCAATAATAATTTTTGTTGTTACTTATCAACAATGTTCTGAAGTGGACTTTGTACATAGATAGATACAAGATCTTAAATGGCAACTTAAGTCTCTATCATTTTTCCTTATCTCTTTTTGCTTTTATTCAATGAGGCCAACAAAGTGCCTCATTCCCCCTGAACATTTTATTATAGAGCACAAATTCTCAATTATAATCACAATCCAAAAATGGAAAATTGATAATGATACGACTATGTAGTTCTCAGTTTTATTCAAGTTTTGCCAGTCATTTTAATATGATCCTTGGTAAGAAAAAGATCTAGTCTAGAATCATGTATGGAATATAGTCATCATGATGTTTATTGTGTAAGAACTCTGCAATAGTTCTTTGGTCTTTCTTTGAATCCAACAACTATAACATTCTTTAAAAAAATTAATTAAATTGATCGGTATATTTTAAGTATACATAATGATCACTTTTGTCATAGGAACTTTGTACCTCTACATGACTTATCTCAATTTATTTTTTTCCCATTCCTTTACCCTCCCTTCTGTCTTTCTTCCATATTTATTTACAAAAGTCTTATATCTTTTTCCTTCTTTTCCAATTTTTTCTTTTCCTTTCCTTCACTTACTCCTCTTCCTTCCATAGTTCTCCTTTCCAGTCGAGCATTTTTTTCTATTCCCTAATATCTAATGCACAATTTTTGTTTTTGTTTTTGTTGTCCCTTCATTAAGTTTGTCTCCTATTCCATCATGGGCAGATTGAAGTTGTGCAACTTGGGCAGAATTATCACCAAGCCACTATTTGGGTTCATCCAATCATGTAATTTATTCTATCACTGGTGATGTTAAATTTGATCACCTGGCTTAGGTGGTAACTATGAGATTTCTCATTATAAAGTTACATTTTCTCTCTATGGTCAATAAATGTTTTGTCCAGAATGTTTTTTGAAGCTATGTATATATTCCATTTCTTGACAGAATTTTAATTCCTTATTTATCTTGGGATAGATGAAGGAATTATTTTAGAGAATGAGTTGCAGTCCAGTACTCTCATTACTTTGTTGTTGAAATTCCTGCAAATTTTGTGACTAGGTTCTCATTCAGCATACTTTTGACATTTTTCCATTATTTTCTTAGATTTCTTTCTTTTTGACAAAATATTCCAGGCTTATCTTATAATTTTCCTGGCCCAACTGTGAGTTGAATAATTTCTCTAAGTAATTCTTCCCTTATGTGGACACTGTTCATTAGATATCAAGACCTGAGTGATAGGATACTTATTAACGTTTGAGATGAATGATTCTAAACCTCTTAGTGGATCCATCTAAAGAACATGCACACATACACACACACACATACACACACACACACACATGCACACACACGTGCCTGTGCATGCAAAACCTCATATATCTCCACAAATTAATCACTTATAGTAATAGCTCTATTTTGAATACACCACTGCATTTTTCTATCTGTAACACTTCGTTATTTGAGAAAGGAGGCCCTCTATACTTGCTTTATTTGACCAACTTGTGTGCCTCCCTCTGCTAACTCGACTGCATCCTACGTACATGCACTCCTCACTCATCTTAGGCTCTACAAGCTGTGCAGGGCTATGGTATTACTTGCCCTTTCCTCATAAAAACACACACTCTACTCACCTTAATCAGGCTCCAGTACCCTCATCAGGAGGCCACAAATATTCTTGGGGAGATACTTGACCTTAAGGTTTTTTAGATCTGTCCGTATTTGTTAAAGAAAAAATTAACTGCTGTATTATGTAGAGTTTCCTAATCATATCATATCCTGCCTTGTATATTTTAAAGGTATCCAGAAAGATAAAAGTGATGAAAATCTGTGTACTTTTATAAACAAAATTTATCTATCTTTGTAATAACTCTATTTTAATTTAAATGATGACTTGCTGTTCTTTTTTCCTGAAACATATTAAACAGACTACTCAAGTTTATGTTGCTAAAGTATCAACATTTCAGAAAGGTATTTTTGGCCACACAAAACAGCACTTTACTTTCTGCCAGTGCATTCTTTTGTCTTTCATAATGCCTACCAAAATTTATAAATTACATATTTTATTATTTATTTGCTTATTTTTCTCATCTCCAGTAAGTCATGAGCTCTTTTTTGAAAATAGGAGTTTTTTTTAATAATAAGTTTCTAATATCTTACAGTGTATTTAATGTATAATACACACTTTAAAATAATCAATATTTGTTGCAAGATTGAAAGTGTTCTATAACATTGAGAAATTGAAAAACTTAAACAAGATGTATTTAATACATATCAATAATTTGAATTTTATTTCAGTAGTTGAAGATGAACTGAGAAATTGAAAACAGAGTGACTACAAATAATAGGAATTTAGAATTTGAGACACAAGCTGTTGATATCAAGAAAAATTACTAAATATTCAAGCATAAAGCATACTTGAAATATTTTTAAATCTTACCCATGTATTGCATGTAAATATTAACTTTCATGACTATATAGTAATTTCTTAATGAAACATCTTTATCCTATTATTTAATTTCATGATTTTCCTGTCTTAAATGAACTCTATAATTTTAAGTTGAGGTTGGTAAAAGTACATAGTTTAGAAAGCAATCCAAGACCAATTTGGAGACATGTGACAGTTACCCCATTTTAGATTGCTTAAGGGGAAACAGACTTTCATCTACTCAAACACTTATCAACAATGTTCTGGAGTGGACTTTGTACATGGATAGATACAAGATCTTAAATGGTAACTTAAGTCTCTATCATTTTTCCTTATCTCTTTTTGCTTTTATTCACAGGAAGACTCTTTTGAATAGTTTATAAAGACATGATTTCCTGTTGGAAAAAGTAGCTATGCCACATTGTAAAGGCATGCTTACAGAAACAGGGGTTAACACTGAAGAAAATCTAGTATAATCCTGGGTTTACATCACTCTCATAAATAGCTTTTTCAGAACAATGAATGAACCTCTTTTACCTACCAGTTCACGCAAAAAGAATTGTGAAGACCCTGATTGTTGGGATTTTGTCACATCTGAATCTCTGAATAGATTATTGTGGCCATGAAAATCTTTGCTCTTCTGCAGTGTTAGGTCTTGCTTCACACCAGAACTGAAAAGTGGGTCAGCTTTACATAACTGTATGGATGAAGAATGAGAGAAAAGCAAGCTCTCAGAGGCGCTGCTGCACAATAATAAATATATGAATGGCACTAAAGCTGAGAAGTTCGTACAGGTGAATAGAGATTTTGGACAGAAATTTTCTAGTGTGCATTTCTTTTGTCATTTATACTTCCTAATATGGAAATATGGAAAGAATCACTTTAGTTTTCAACTTGAACCTAACTGAGTCCTCATAAGGCTCACTAGGTATGGATTGAATACAATCGAGATGTTACTGCTCTGACTGAAGCAAGATATTTTGGCAGCCTCTCTGAAGTTAAAGACACTACTTTTTAAATGCATATGATCAAATAATAAACAGAATTAACTTATTTCACTATGTTTTGCAAATGATTGTTAGGTTTCCCAATGTGTCTAAGATAAAGGACAAGATGAATTAAAGACAATTATTTGTGTTTTGTACTGTATTTGATAATCTCTTAAAACTTTAAAGTTTAACGGCTTCTATAAGAGTAGATGAAAGTGAGTTCAGAAAGGCTTTATATTCTTGGGAACAGTGACAGATTTTATAACCCCGAGATGTAGTTTTCACAGTAGTTGAGAACAACTGTTGAGTCTTATACAATAGGAGGAAATCCAAGCTCTGTCCTCTACTGGCAATAAAACCAAATAACTTCCAAGTCCTTTATTTGCTCCAGGAATTACCTCACCTGGAAACTAGTCATACAAATGATGTTTAATTCACAGGATTGCTATGAAGATGAAATGAGTCAACACATTTACATTGCTGAATTTATCACATGACAAAAAAGGAACTATTCGTCTGTGGTACAATTTGAGAGTGTACCACATTTGGTTCTTCATTTAATTATCTTGAGTTAACTCATTTTTCATGAGAAAACTAAGGTTTGATGATAAATATGTTACCAAAGTTAGGCAACAATCCAGTCATTAAAAGTTTAACCTATATTGTTTTTTTAGTTTCCAAGGATAAAGTATGGCTGAAGGTCATAAATTTATTTTGAGGAAAGCAATGAAAAAACATTGCTTTCACAGTGGAGACAGTGTGAGGGAGCAGGGCTAGAGCAAAGTCACTGGAGATTTCAGTTTCTGGAGGGAAACTGGAAGGGCTTGGCAGATGTTTTCCAAAGATGACACAAAGGCATCTCTCACTTCACGTGTCCTTTCCTAATGCAACTGTCTTACTTTAAAAAGAGTAGACTAATTTCCTCCTGGACCCCTTGAGCCTCAGCTGAACTTGATGACTTCCTCAGCCAAGAAAGAGTAGCAAAAGTGACATTCTGTGACTTCCAATAATGTCAAAATGAGTTTTGTAGAATCTGTCTGTGTCTCTTGGAATGTCGGTACTTGGGTTGCTCCCTCAAGGAGTTCAACTGCTGTTCTGTTTGTAGCCCACACCACCTAAGGAGGCCAAGGGTAGGTGTTCTACTCACCGGTTTTAACCAGTCCTCCAGTTGCCAGTGACACTAATTAGCCACAATTCATTAATTAGTAAATTGTTTTAGATGATATCATGAAACTGCTGTTCCAGTCAACATAATGCCTGTCGCTGTAGGAGACTGTTAGAGCCACACAGCTGGACACAGGACACAAAACCTTGAGATAACAGAGCAGTATTGCTTTAAACTGTTAAACTGTGGTATGGCTTGTTATGTAATCATAGATAACTAGAAGAATGATATTAGAAGTACAGAAAAGAAAGAAACAAAGAAATAGGAATAAATAAAGCACCAAAGCACTTAAGATTTACCTGACAGAGACATAGAGAAAAATAAATACAAGTATCTCCTTCTTAAACATGACAGGTTTGCTCAGAACCAACCCACATCACATCAAGAGTACAATATTCGGCTGTTTGGTATAGTCTACAAATCATTACATAGAAAATTTTACTGTATATCTTATGTAAATCCATAAAGGTTATTAAAAGAAAGCTTAAAGTTTAAATTCAAAAGTGTATCGTGATTTTTCTTTTTCTTTTTCTTCTCCTAGAAATAAATTGAATTGTATCTTGTCATATTTGTTTTACATGCTCCTTTTTTATTTATGTGTTTGTTTTCCAAGGATATTCATTGCAAGGTTACTTAGAGAATAAAACTATCATGAGTTAACTGATTATATACAAATTTAATTTCTACACAAATAGCCTTTTAATTCTATAACTTCCCATCTATTTTTGGTTTGGCCCATCTCTATTCTTGAACATACAAGGTGAATATATTATAGATTTAGTGCTAAATGACTCTTGAAATTTTGTAGACAACACAATCTCCATGATATGGTCATTGGACAAATACTTAGATCACATTCAAAGACCTTGGAAAGAAGCAGTTAACATTAAGAAGGAAAAAATGGTCAAGTTTAAGATCAAAGTTTTCAAAAGAGAATGATTTGAAATGTAAAGGTTTAACATCGCGTAAGAGAAGTTTTTGCAAAAATATTGAATAAATGCAAAAATAATCAACTTATGTTAAGAAAATAAAATATTTTATGTAGAATGTATTATTCATGAAATAATATAAATTTTTCAGTAAATTAAATCTAGAAAAAACAAAAGTTTATATTTTCCATGAATTGAAACACATTTGTAATTGAAAACTAGATGTGGATAAATATTAGACTTATTTTATTATATTTTATAATTTTGTTTTTATTTTTAAGATAAGGTTCTAATCAACATGTTTTCCTTTATTTTAAAAAAATAAAATTGTGGTCCCAATTTAATGTTGATTCATTTCACTCTTTTTTCTTCCTATGTTAAGCACATTAAATATCCCCCATTGAGGAAGGAAAATAATATTTGGTTTCCCAGATCAGTAAGAAATAATTCATATTGTAATAGTTTTCATTGGCAAGTTAATGGAAAATATACTCATAAGAAACTCAGGGCTAGCAAGCTAAATAGGCTTTAACAAAATCAGCTCAGCAGATTGTTTTACATGAAATAGTCAACATCAAGGTAATGGGAAATATGAATTTCTCTTGGGGAGGGATGGATTCCAAGCAAATTTTGTATTTGATTTTAGAAAATATGAAAAAGTACTGAATAAAACTCAGAATGGAAAGCCCCAGTCTTTTCTACTCTTCTTTCATCCTTCAGTCAACTAATAGTTATTCTACCATTTTCTGAGGAAAAACACTGAACTGCAAAATCCCATCCCTGTTCTGGGTGGAGGAGGCAGGGCTGTGCTGGGAAATGTACATAGCATCAGAAGAGACAGGTGACGTAGTTGGTGCTTCAGGGAGGGATTCAAAGAGAGGATGTGGCCACAAGAAGTTATCACAAACAGGGAACTGGTGATATAGGGGAATGAAACCCCTGACCTACTATGTCTGGTATGAGCTCATGTTCTCTAAAATTGAAGAATGAATTTTAGCAACAGCGGAGCTGAAGAGCAGAATATTGAGAGAAAGAAAGCTTCCATCTGAAGAGAGACAGAAGGGGTCCCGAGTGGGTTGCCAAGGACACTGTCTTTTCCAGGGGCTTTTATACAGTGAAACTATGGGTTCAAGGTGGGGGAAGACTGGGAACTCACAAGGCAGATAGGAATGAGGTGGGACATAACTATAGTTAGCCAATAATATCAATAATTCAGGTAAAATTGATTTCATTAGGAACAAGTGGGGAAGAGAGTCACATAGAAAGCAGGCATTCTTACAGACTCTTTCCTAAGAGAATGGGAACTATTTAGGGTATCAATCCTCAGGATATGGGTGCATTTGTTTGGTCTTTTGTCTTGAGGCCTGGCCCACAGCAGGAGGTGTCAGCCCCCCCCTCCACCCTGCCCCCTGCAATTGCTAAGTATCTGTACTGGCTCCAATGAGGGCCTAGCCCTCCCTCACTGCCTATAATATTTCTAACTAACTCAGCTGCCTGTAACACTGTGGAAAATTCAAGGGGAAGTGGAAGAGTCCTTTAATACAGGAGCTTGAAAGAGTTTTGGCCCAAACAGGATACTGTAGCCAGTAAAGCCTCAGGCAGAACCAAGAAGCTCCATCTCCCCCACCCCTAGGAATTTACCTGTGGCGCCAAAAGAATACCAATGGGCTACCTGTGCATCCCTAATGCCCCCTCAGCCTCCACCCCAAACCTAAGCTACACATATGCCTCCACTCTACATGTTCCATGGAGAGATCGCCGACCCCGGGGGGAGATGCTGTGCCCCAGGGTGTCGGGGGGGGGTCTCTCCCCACATTCTTAAAATAAAGCTCATTTATATTTCATACTTCTTATCTTTTCAGCCGCCACCAGTCCCCACAATTCTATCATATGGTTCCCTGACCGGAAACGGCAGATGAGAGACTCCTCGGGTTCTCCCAGCTTGAGTCCCCTGCCGTTCAGGACCAGGACTGGACTACATCCTGCATTAAGTCCTCACTTCTACACTCGGGAGCTGTAAACTTGTCACTGCTAGCTTGCAAGCAACACCGGCCCAGTTTATCACAGGTGAGCAAACTCCAGAGAATTCTTCAGCACTGGGCTAGGCCTCAGGTGGGTTTTCTCCCCCTTTCCATGGATTTGTGTGATGCTCTCATGTCCTTAGACAGCCCAAGGCAGAGATTTTCTGGACCAATCTGGGTTCACACCGAGGAACTCTCACATCTTTCAGAGCTTTTTAAGTTCTCACAGGCAGAGCTGTTACTAAAACCCACGAGAAATCCACTTGTGGATCTCTCAGTGATGACTGAGAAATACAAGATTTGGAACCCTAGCCACCATTTGTCCCAAAGGATGGGTGACGGCCCAACCTCTGGACCATAGCCCATTTCTCGCCTGAGATTTAGACATTAAAAAAAAAAAAAAAAAAAAAAAATATATATATATATATATCTTTTCTACTTCCCAAAAGACCACACCTTTGCAATGCTTGATTTCCAATCTGAGTACTCTTAAATTAAAAAAAAAAAATACCTATTTATAGCTTATCACACTGACGACAAGGTTACAAAACTCTATCTTTAAGCCTTTGTTTTGGAAATGTGTGTCCTTTCCTGCTCTTCCAGGATCCATCTCCCTCCCCACACTTAAAAGAGATAATAGCATCTTTCTTTGCAGCCTTTCAGAGCTTTCTCAGCGTCTGCTTTCCTCCCTGTTTCCCCTCCACCTCGCCGCTTGCTGATCCATTCCCTGCTGAGATGGGAGGTGCACCCAAACAGTGTTGAGAGATACGCGCAGGCCGCTTTAAGCTTTCACGGGCTGCTTTACGCTTTCATGCCGTGCCTCAATTACACGCAGTATCTCACCTCTCATACCATGCTCCAGGTCCGTGCGGGGTCGGCTCTAATGCCGTGCCCTAATCTGTGTGCCCTGCAAGCAGTTCCGGCTCCATGTGGCTGCTCAGCCCCACGCAGGGTTGCAGCGTGTAGGGTCCTGACCCTGTCCAGCTCCACCCCCCAAGCACCACATGTCCGTTGCTGCTGCCACCACCGCTCCACTGCCCCGTGTTTCTTGGGGGCAGTTCGGCAGTTCCAGGCCCGCCCTGTACGCTATGTCCCAGCGCTTGCCCCGCCTTCACTCTGTATGCCCCGCCCCCACGCTGGGTGTGCTCTGCCCACATGCCGGACCACAAACACAGATAAACAGCAGCTGGGCAGCTCGGCTGGAGATGCTATTTTTTACATTCTCAAAACATTTAATCAAGGTTAAATAAGCTGACAATAGACAAAACTTTGGCTGATAAATGGGGAAGTGGCCACCTGGTAATTTTACCAGCCTTGTTTATCAATTAAAGCCTTCAGCAATCTCCTAAATGTTTAACAACCAAAATTAAAAGGTAATTATAAATTCCTTTTGCTGTAAATCACCAGTAATGTTCTATGTTGCTTACTGCCTATATTATACTATATTGTCACTGATCTCCTGTTTAACAACTAAAATTAAAAAATAATTATAAATTCCTTTTGTTGGGAACCACTAGCTCTTTTCCAAGACAAGGGTTATATGATACATGCAAAACAACAAAACCGACACTGCGGCAGAAGCCAAACTTAAACCTATCCCAGACTGTCTGCCTGCCGAGCCATAATTAACTATATTCAACTGATATTAAATGACACCGTATTGATCTCTCTCCTAAATAAAAAGGTAAAAATTAATTGAACAGGCCATCCTCCAAAAATCAGATGGCATTAGACATTTTAATAACATAAAGAGATACTTATATATGACATAAATAAATACCCTGCTAATTATATTTGACTCCTGCATACTTACTTAATTCTACAGATATCTTCTACTGTAGACCAAATCCCAAACAAAAAGGTAAAACTTGACCTTCAAACCTCATAGAGACCTTCATATGGCTTTTCATAATTTCAACAACAGAGATAACAGTAACACTTGGAGTTCTGAGACAGATAAACTGACACAAGGTGGAGTGGCCTTGGCCCCCCATGGACCATGCCTCAAATGCTGCAGAAGGACATTGGGCAAGAGAATGCCCCATCCTGGCATTCCTTGGGATCTTACCCCAGGGCTACTGGACTGTCCTAGCCACCAGAGAGTGGATAAGCCATCCTAACTCCCAGCCCTAACAGGAAATGCCAACACTGCCAGATTCATCACCGACAGATCTGCTTAAACTTGTTGCTGAATATTGATAGGGCGCAGGGCCAACAACAGCCCCCTTTGTGGGTGTCCGTCTCAGAGTCCAAGTCCCACTAAAAGTCTCAGGTAAGACATTCTATATACTTCTGGACATAGAGGCCATATGTACAGAGTTCTCCCTGAGTTTTCAGGCTGCTATAGTTAGTCCTCAATCTCTATAAGGAGATATTGATGGTCAACCTATGCCATTTACAAACAGGGCCTATTTCGTGCAGATTCCAGATTGCTTCTTTCCAATTCACCCAGTGGTGTCAAATCTTCCCTCCACCACTCATTATACAGTCCTAAATCTTAAAAATGCTTTTTATTCCCTTGTGTTTCTACAGGCTGACCCAGACACTGAGACCTCAACAGCTTACACCTGTTATCGCTAATAAACCTCTCCACAATGATATTAGACCACCTCCTTCCTTTCTTATTCACCAATTTCTCAGACAACCCTGGTCAAGACTGACAGATAAATTCTGTCTTCTATTGCAAGGACTACAACCAGGTTACAGTGACCCATACCTGATATTCTTGGCAACCTTAACAGTGATCAAAGTTGCTAGACTGCCATCCTGGTTTCATCACTCAGGCTAACTGGTGCCCCTCCAGCCTTAGATCTAACCATCCTTTTGCCTACTCATCTCCATTTCACCAAGGTCTCACAACCACAACTCTCAGGCTGTTATGTTTTGTTATTCAATTTGGTTTCTAATTTCTTATTCTTTTTACAGCAGGACTTGTAACAGTATTTCCTAAAGACTCCCACGTCATGCATACCAGAGACAAGCCTTACCCTCTTAACTTTTACCCTTTCAGATGGGGGAGTAATCACTTCTCATAACTTTACTCCTCCTAACCCCACATTTATTTTTCAGAATTTTGCTTTACCATGGAAATGTTTCTACCTCAACATGGTCTTGATATAATGACATATCAAAATCAAAGGCACCTTTCCTTCTACCTCACCTGGGTCCTTAAATATGATAGTGCCATGCCTCCTCATAACATCTTATCTCTTTGTTTTTCCAGTCTAACATACATGCATTCACCGGTGAAGTTGTCCTGGCTAAAACACCTGGCACCAGCTTCTACTTGGGCATCAACCGTCATCCCATCGACTGCCCTAGACCCCAGTACAGTGCCCCCTTCCAGCAGGAAGCAATAAAAAAAGAAATCTTCACCCCTTTTCATAATAATAATCATAAGATGGGATATGAAAGAGCTTTGGTCCAAACAGGACACTGTAGCCAGTAAAGCCTCAGGCAGAACCAAGGAGCTCCATCTCCCCAACCCCTAGGAATTTACCTGTGGCACCAAAAGAATACCAGTGGGCTACCTGTGCATCCCTAATGCCCCCTCAGGCTCCACCCCAAACCTACGCTACATATATGCCTCCACTCCACGTGTTCCACAGAGAGATCACCGACCCCAGGGGGAGATGCCGCACCCCAGGGTATCCGGAGGTCTCTCCCCACATTCTTAGAATAAAGTTCATTTATATTTCATACTTCTTATCTTTTCATCCACCACTGGTCCCCATAATTCTATCAGAGCTGTCTACCATGTACTCTCAACAGACACATCTGGGAGTAACACCCCATCAAGATCTGGAAAGTGAAGGTCACTTGGGCAACATAAGGGGATGAGGTCAATTGATTAGAGGCTCAAAACCCACTGACTCCTTTTCTATTATGACTACACAACTCTCTATGGCTTGGACCCAGTCACACACACACCCACAGTGCATACTTGGTTTCTTAGAAATCTCAGCTAAGTATCAGGGTGCTCTGGGTACCTTTCACTGATATGGCCACAGGGTAAGTAGAGCGGGTGGTCTTTTCTCTACCCTGGTAATGAATGAGTACAGCTGCACCTTATATTCCATGCCCAAGTGGGAAGTCCCTTACTCATGGTGGGAAAAGCAGCCGGGCAGAATGCCTTCAACTCCTTTCCTCAATGATAATTAGTGATGAAACCTGTGAGGAGAGGAAGACTGCAGATGGAGGAAAAGAAGAAAAGGGGTCAAGAAGAGCTGTCTTTTACATGTGCATATACATAACCCAGAAAGCCTTTATCCTAGTACAACAAAAGGGTCTGGAAAAATTTTGGTGAAACGGTAGAAGGAGCAATGTCATTATTCACAAACATCACTAACACTTTGATTAACATGAAAAAGCTACAAGGCAGAATCTGTCACACATGAAAGTTTTGTCATAGCCTGACATTCTATAGTCTCAGCACCTGGGAGGCCTGGGCAAGAAGATCATGGCAAGTTTGGGTTAGTCAATGCTACGAAGTGAGTTCAAGACCAGGCAGAAGTACATAGTGAACCCTTGTTTAAAAACAACAGCAGCAGCAAGAAGAATTTTTAATGATAACCAACTTTAAAAAGGAAATAGAGAGTATTAAGTGTTCATGAGGACAAAAATGCAACATATTCATCAGCAGCAAAATTCAGCCTCTCTCATCAGGGATGTAGACACTGGAAAGAAGTAATTTGATGAAGAGGAAAAAATAGATTGCCAGGAATCAGGAAAGAATTGAAAGAGAAGATGGAGAAAGAATCAAAAATGCAGAGAAAAAGAATAAAATGAAAGAAACCACCTGAACTCTTTCCCTGGTTGGTGGCTCATGAGGCTCCATGAAGGCAAAGGAAAAGCCCAGAGCCAGGACATCCAGGCAGAAGTGGCAGCAGAGCCATGACTATGGTGAGCTCCAAAAGCAGTTTGGGATTCTGCTCCAAGAGGGCTCCTTACACATAGCAGTTAGTCTCAGGGATGGGTTCCAGCATGGGCATCCACCATGGTCATCAAAGACTGCTTACTCTGGTGCTGTCTCAGGAAAGGGCTGATTATTTAAATCTAGGACTCAGAACAACAGGATAACAATTTAGGGCTCCCATACTTGCCCTTCTACAGGGACTAGGTGAGACACAGTCACTGGAGGCAGCGTTGGTCAGGGAGCAGGCTAGAAACAGATCCCTTGCACTTTCAGACCCAGCTGCATCTGGCTTGAGTTGCACTCAGAAATGGTGCATTTGAATGTGCCGTGTTAAGTATTTGAACCCTTACCCTGCTGCCTCCATCCAGCATAGCTGTAATGTCTCAACGCCTTCTTTACTTACTCATGTGAGCAAGGATACTTCAGGTAGGGACTTGCCACAGCTTGGGGGTAAACAGAGGAGTCTCTGGGATTGTGGGGGCAGCTCACAAACTCACATGCCAGCATCCACAAGCCCATAGGCAGAAAAAACAATGATCTGGTTCCAAAATATTGTACCCTGGAAGGAAAATCATTCATTCAAAAAATGCATACAATTCCCCCCCCCCCCGTTTTGAGGCTCATTTTCCTTCTTTCTTTTTTTCCTCTTTCATTTTTCTGCTTCATTGATTTATCAGGATTCAGGGAATTTTCTTTTGTTCTTTTTATTCTTTCTTCTGTTTCTTACTCATGTTTCTCCTTTTAATTTTGTCTTTTATTCTCTATATTATTCTTTTTTGCCCCAGTTTTTCTTTAAAGAAAAAATAAAACAAAATTTCAAAGCACACTAATTAGAGGGCAGCAATAGTTAATACATTATGCATTGTTATATTTAAATTAGATATTCAGAGTACATGATGTCTGCATTTAATAATCCAAATAATGTTAGCACAAATCTTTCTTTTCAGTGAATTCAGAGAAATTAGAAACTATTTAACATCTCATATATATATATATATATACATAATTTCTTATATATATTTCTTCTTTCTATATATAAATATATAATTATTATATTTTATATAAAATTGTTATATATATATATAATTTCTTTCAGCTTCTCACACTAGGGAGATGATGTCATGTTTACACATGTGATTCTCATTTATGTTGCTTATGA